AATATGTATCTTCTGTTTGTCTTTAAATTTTATGACCTCTTCATACTTTTCTGTTGCTCATGTGGTTGCTTAAGTTACTCACTGCATAGGCCAGGTCTTGATTTCCTAATGAATTATGATAATTTATTTATTGTAATAATCTCCCTTTTTATGAAGTGTATTTAAATTTGTTTTTGAACTTAAGGCTCTATATATTGCTTTAAAAAGTTATCTATGAAAAAATCGCTTTGAAATTCTAGTCACTATTGTCAGATAAGAAATTCCAGAAATGATATTTGATATTTAACCTGATATTAACACTGTAGGTAGACTGTTTGCYCCTTTCCCCCACTCCTTCACATAGTAGAAGAAATAGCTCTCTAAACATGTTTCCCTGTGTAGAAATTCATCACATAATGACCAAATCTCCAATCATGTCTGAATAGTTTATTCCCTTTTTTTGTTTTATTGTCTTGATTGTTATCCAGAAAGTCATATCAAGGTCCGAGGAACAAAGTATGTTATTTTCTGATAGGCTTGGTCTTGAATTAGGTTTTCAGAGGTGTGAGTGTCCATATATAGCCAATGGCAGCCTTGACTGACATCTAGGCTCACTGAGTTTGGTTCTGTGGATTCTAGGTACACACACTAGGTTAATACTTAAGAAGAAGGGTTCAGTAATGAATACACAAAACATACCATATACAATTAAATATGGAAATAAGAGAATTGGGTTGTTTGAGGCATGCAATGAAGTCTGTGAAAAGATTCATGGGAGTCTTTAATATTAGCTGTCCATAGCTATGAACTTCCTTCCCTTGTCAAGACTTTTAAGTCTTGACAGAGGTAATAAGTTTTTTTGGTCAAGAGTTTGTGCCCAAGAGGTATGTGTCTTATTCTCTTTTCTTTTGCTATAACAGAATATCATAGTCTGGGAAGTTTATGGAAAATATGAAGTTTATTTTGGCTCATGGTTTTAGAGGCTGAAAGTCCAAGATTGAGAGACAGCATCTAGCAAAGCTTCACACTACAGCAAAACACAACAGAAGAACTCAAAAGCAACTGGGTACAGGGACAGGAGACAAAGCATAAGGGAAGACATACTTTTAAACCACCCATTCTTAAGAGAATGAGCCCACCCCTGCCAAAAAGGCATTGATTCCTCTTACTGAACTAATCACTTCTTAAACCCCTACCCCCCAGTACCAGAATGATGGCAATCAATTAGACAGAGGAGAGTGAAGGGAGGAAAGGGGTTATGAATGTAGGAAGTATAATAGAATGAATAAGACATTATTACCCTATGTGCATATATGATTTCACAACTGATATAATCCTCTATCATGTACAACCAGAAGAATGAGAAGTATACTCCATTTATGTAGGATGTATCAAACTGCATTCTATTGTCATGTATAACTAATTAGAACAAATAAAAAATTTCATCATGAATTTCAAAGGAAATAAACCATATTTGAACTAAAGAATCAGGGGGAATCAAACTTTTCTTTTAATATCCAGTGAATGATTTTATTCTCTCTTCTTTTCTGTCATAGTTTTATAACTAGAGGTGAAATACATATTGGCAATCTTGACCCGTTCAGAGTTGTCACTATTCAAAAACTTCCCCCATATATTCAGACTCTTCAAATCATTAATCACTCAAATCATCAGAAATATCATAACTGAATAACATTTATTTTGATGAGATACAATTCCTCAGGATCTAAGAAATCCATCTGATTTTGTATTTTATCAAAGACTTTGAGGTGATAATTAAACCCATGAATGACCTGGCTGGGTAACTAGTACTAACTTTTTCTATGCAAGTAATCTTTCCTACTCTGACAATTTGGTCTTCCTGAGTCAATAACTACAATACCATTATATTTCCATTTTCTGGATTATCACCTCTCAAATAGCCTTGTATAGCTCAATTTCTGGATATTTTTCTCTCTACTTGAATTTATTTTTAACTTAGAATGTTTCTTAACCTTATTTCTATCCTCTGAAGTAAAAAAAAATTAAACATTTTAAAATGAGTTGAAATAAAGTCATTTAGAAGGAATTAGTGGAAAATTATGTACACAGTGGTTGAGTGGTTATTAATGTAATCTTCTCCCATGTTTTTACTCACAAAATTTCATAGAATAACCTTAAACTAAGGTTTTACTTAGTTTGCTTAAGCATAGTTCATGAAACTTAATGAAAGATTCAGCCACATAATGTAGTAATTATTTGTATGACAGAAATAAATTTAAATGAAATTTAAGTGTCATTTAAATAAATTTGTACTGTTAAATATAGAAAATTTTCTAATCTCTGAAGGCATGTCTAATTCTAGTTTCTTCTTAGTAAAGGAGGTGCATCTCATTCTACTATAGAATGAATGAAGGAAATTTATTTTAAATCTTAAACTGTTTTAGATGGATTAAAAACTTGAATTCTATCTAGAAACATCTTTTATGTTCATTTAGATTATAAAGTAGCTAGGAAGTTTATATTGACTTTGCTCTATGAAATCATATTCTCTTTGAGAAAATAGGTGTATTTTAGTTGCTGTAGAATAGTGTGAGTTACATTTTTATTGAGTGAATGTGAAACACAGAAAGAAAGAATMCAGACAGGTATGATGGCACATGTCCATAATCCCTGTGACTCTGGAGGCTGAGGCCGGAAGATTATAAGATCGGTGGCAGCCTCAGCAACTTAGTGAGGYCCTAAGCAACTTAGGAAGACCCTGTCTTAATAACAATAAAAATAAAAAAGGGTGAAAGGGCTAGGGATGTGTTTTAGTGGTACAGTGCCTGTGGATTCAATTCTGAGAGAGAGAGAGAGAGGAGAGAGAGAGAGAGAGAGAGAGAGAGAGAGAGAGAGAGAGAGAGAGAGAAACCAATTTAATTTTGAGCAATATACAGATTTAATGGAGTACTCATCAAAATACCAATGAAAGTCTTCAMAGAACTAGAAAAAAGTCTTAAAATTAATTTGAAAGAATAAGTAACCCAAAATAACCAAAGTAATTATAAACCAGAAAAGCAATGCTAGATATATCACAATACCTGACTTCAAATTATACTACAGAGCTGTAGTACAAAAATATCATGCTGGCATGAWACAGATACATAGACAAATGGTGCAGAATAGAAAACACAAAGACAAACCCACACATAGTCATCGGATCCTTGACAAAGGTGCCAAAAACAGACATTGGAGAAAAGAAAATCTTTTAAAACAAAGTATACTGGGAAAACTGGTTATGTATATATAGAAGGATGAGGCTAATTCCTTATCTCTCACCTCACACAGAAGTCAACTCAAAATGGATCAAAGATCTAAGAATTAAGCCAGGAACTATGCAGCTCCTTGAAGAAAACATAGGGTCAGCACTCCAGCATATAGATACAGGCAACAACTTTCTTAACAGGATATCTAAAACATCAGGAAATAATGTCAGGACTTGATAAATGGGATGGCACCAAATTAAAAAGGTTCTGGACAGCAAAGGAAACAATTAAGAATGTGAACAGAGAAACTAGAGAATGATAGAAAATCTTTGCTAGCTACTCTCCTGACAGAGGATTAATATCCAGAATATATAAAGAACTTATAAACTTAACACCAAAACAATAACAATAAAAATAGAAGAAATAAAAATGACCAAAAAATACATGAAAAATTGTTCAACCTTGTTAGTAATTAGGGAAATTTAAATCAAAACTGCTTGAAGATTTCATATCACTCCAGTTAGAATGGCAACTATCAAGAATACCAGCAATAATAAATACTGGAGCAGATGTGTAGAAAAAGGAACATTTTTCTACTCTCAGTGGAATCGTAAATTAGTACAACCACTATAGAAATCAGTATAAGGTTCCTCAAAAGACTAGGCATGGAACTATTAGCTATACCATGCCTCAGTGTTAATTCCGAAAGAATTAAAGTCAGCATACTGAAGCAGTATATGCATACCCATTTTGACACAGCATAATCTACAATAGCTGGACTATGAACCAGCCTAGGTGTCTGTCATTGAATGACTGGATAAAGAAAATATTACATACAYACACAATGGGGTTTTATTCACCATAAAGAAGAATGAAATTATTTCTATCATCTGCAGGAAAATGAATGGAACTTGAGAACATTATGTTAACCTTTTTAGCCAAACTCAGAAAATCAAGGATTATATATTTTCTCTCATATAGACACTTGAGAAAAAAAAGGAAAAGAAACTTGGTGGCGGCAGGTGGGCAGGCTATCATGAAAACTGAAGGGAGATCATTAGAGTGAATGAAAGAGGTCAGAGAGAGGGAGGAGGGAAGGGAAATGATATATACTGGGAAATGATAGTATTCAATTTAAATTGTTATATAGAATGCATGTATAAATATGAAAGGAATCCCACCATATGTGCAGTTATAATGCATGAATAAAAAATAGAAAAAAAATCAAGAACAGCACCAAAAAATTTATTTTCTGATTTTTTTTTTAAATTAAGSAGCGTTACAGTTACATAATCTTCACGAAGAATGGTAATCATTGCAATTAGACTAGGGAAAAAAGCAGGAAATAGATCTTCCCAGGAACAACTGATTTGTTTTTTAAGACCAATAAGTTGATTTAAGAGAAAAATTTTATGTATTTACTTCAAAGATATTCATAATATAAGAGAAAACACATGGTTAACTGCATTACTGACTTTATATGTATTTAAGCAACTGGATTTTAGGGATAACACAGTCACTTCAGAAATACCACAATATTGAGTATGTATAAGTTATAGTGTTATGTAAAATGTTTTAAAGAAATATTCAATAATAAACTAATTAAGGGTTGCAATGAGAGGAAAATTGGAAAGGAGATAGTAATAAGTTTAAGTTAAATTTCTATTCCAGTTATTATAAAAACATAAGTGAACAAAAAATTCTAGTAATGCAAATGCAAATGAACTTTAAGAGGTGGATGACATYTTGAAATATTTTATAAATTTATAAATTTATATTTCTTACTACCAATAGCTCACAGTACTATGAATGACACTGATGTCCCTATGGAAACAACTGAATGCATTCAAGGTCAAGGAGAAGGTTATAGGGGAACCATCAATACCATTTGGAATGGAATTCCATGTCAGCGTTGGGATTCTCAGTATCCTCACCAGCATGACATAACTCCTGAAAATTTCAAGTGCAAGTAAGTAAATTAGACAAATGTTATAAATTTTAGCAGACTCTGAGGGGAAATAAGGCAGAATAATTACTTTTTACTCATTTCTGGGTCAGCAATCCTCTARCAGTATTGTGCCCAAGTATAATCAGTGTAAAATAGGAGATTAGCCTGCTATTCAGAGTTTTTAATTTCTTTAGTCTGAAACTTGACCTCACATAATCATTTAAACAAGCCTACTAGGTAATACTGATTCAGAATGTTGAAGGACTATGTTTACACACACATCTCTAGGTTTTTTTCAGATCACAGTTTTGCTCTTGAAGTTCTATTTAATAAATCAATTAGTGGTAATGATAACCATGCATGTTTCAAACTAGTGCCTTCTTAAATTTTTATATCAGCTTAAGGGATGGGCATTACATATGTTTTTCTCTTACAAGAGAGGCACACCTTGATTTAGGTCAGCACTTCAAATGTTAAAGTTTATAGCACAAAGATATATGGAAAGTATTTTTAATAGCTTAAATGAAGGTTATCAGTTGTTTCTGGACTTGTGAAAAGTGAAGTGAAACAAGAGTTAAGACGAATTAAGCAAAGAAACTGGCCTAGGACATCAGTTATGTAGTTGTTAAGTGCATTCTCTATGGTGCTTTTGGTTTCACCACTCAGTTTTTGTTGGACAGACACAGCCACATGCCATCTGTTTTTAAATTGTCCACCTTGTTATGAGGAATGTAAAATGATTGCTTTTGGAATTTATATCACACATGTAACTCATGATGGCTTTGCTGAAAGAGCACCTATAAATAACATATATTAACTTTATGTAATTGACTTTTAATAAGATAGCCAAACATTGCAGGATGAAGAACTTTGAGAATTAATGGTTCATCCACTGGAGAGAAAAATATTTATGTATGTGTATGTGTTTTTTTTTTTTTTGTGTGTGTATGTATGTGTTAACTTATTCAGCAATTTGTTCAGATAGTAAATATCCATGTGTTGCAATTTTTTGAATTATTTTATAATAACAAAATTTATAGTTGTCATTCTGATTTTATTTCCCTCATTTCCTTCAGAGCAATTCATCTTTTATTTCTGACCCATGTGTTTTACCACTCAGAAATAAATATCAAAGTAAAGAAAGCAAAGGAAATGATAAAAGATTAGCTAAAAGGCACAAAAGGCGGCAGTGTTGGAGCCATTCACGCTAGTTAACATTTAATCACTGGCAATACCCAAAGAAGAAGTTGTATATATACAAGTACCCAATGAATTTTATCTTAAGAAAAAAAGAATGATTCTAGGAACTGAATTCATAGACTTCCCAATTAAAAACTAATTCTCAAAAGTATAACTGTTATTTCTTACTGTAATTTAAATCATTCTTTATTAATTCAGGTATTTGGCTAGAATAACTAAACATAAACATCAAAAAACAAAGTATGAGATGTGTTATTCTACTGTAAAAATGAAACTCAACATTTTGCTCAGAATAATTTTACTATCTGTGACCTAGCATAAAAGGGAATGCTGATCAGGTGTCTCCATTTCTATTAAACACTGTCTGTCCTAATACTGAAATTCCATACGAATGACAATTTTGAAGAACTATAACTACATTTATAACCATAGCTAAATAATACTGCCTATAATGAATCTCATAGATTTGAATTCACTTTATTTATTGTAAATAATTCTTTCTTCAAGTGAAATTAAAAGTCTTGGGGAAAATATTGGGACAAACCTTTACTTTCATTTTTCCTTAATCTAGGCTAATAAAGTACTTCCAAATATAGATTCTATAAGTGGTCCCAAATTAAGAATTTTGATGACTGTCAATATTAACTTAATTATCTTGCCTTAAATTAAAAATATAAAATAATTTAGCTGAGTAATTCTTTATATAATATTGCAAATTGGAACAAATTTTATGTAAATTTTAATGTGTATATTTCATACGAACATAATTTTTAAAAATATAAGTACACAATGGTTTGAAGAAAATAAAGGGTTTCTTGATCTTAGTTAATAATTTCTTAAAAAATCTAAAGATTTGAATATGGGTTATCATGTAAACATTTCCTATATAATAGCTTTAACTATTGTCAAACATTATTTTCAACCCTTTAACAACATAGTTTTTGTCAAGACCTACTTTGACAAGATAGAATATTGTTTATTGATTTTATAAGCAAATGGAAGTTCCTTCCTTAGAACCTTTTTAGTTTCTATTGGTAAATTTGAGTATTAATTAAACTGTAGTACTTTGAATTGGACCTATGAAATATAAATACTAATAGCTTTAATATTGATTTAGTTAAAATGATTTTCCAGGAATTGATAAAAGAAAATATATTCTTGTTTAAAAATAGTATATTTCAGGAAAACAAATAATAAATTCTACATTTTGTTTAATGTAAACTTTATATTAAGAGAGAAAGCCACTAAAATCCTTTTTAGTATTGAGAATATTAGCATAATTTTTTTTACAAGGAACTCTAAATACTGATACAAGATGCACATGTACTATACTGATTACTTGCTGTATTGTTAGTTTTCTGAACTATAACTAGAGCTTAACTTTCTCAAAATGTTTATAAATATTTTGGTAATCTCTAAATCAAGAAAGAACTATATTGTAATTAAACTGTATCTATTCAGCAAATTAAAAATATCAAGAAAATACAGAATTAAAGGAAACAGCTATCAGATTTTTTGTGTCAAATGTTATAGTTTGCACTTCCATTTTAAAGAAGAGTAGTTAATAACTATTAATAACTTTTCTTCAGTAGAGAGAGATACATTTTGTTTCTATATTACATATGCTCCATGGAAATGTAATAAACAAGAGACCAGTGTTTTGAAATGGTACCAGTAAAGAGTCCAAACCCTGAGGATGAGTAACAGGAATATAGAGGGGCTGCTCTTCTCTTTCTTGAAGCAGTAATGTTTTTTGTGGAACTCCAGACGTGTAGGGGAAAGAACAACTGACATCTGACAGCACTTATTTCAGTAATTCAGGCATTGTCAGTTGTGTATGCTGAATTCAAAATTCCACGATTATCCCAAGTCCACAAACTTAGAATTCTATTTGTAAACATGCATACGTTCTGRGCCTCTAGAAATGTAATAGCATTAAGGTTATTGATGTAAGAGCTCAGACAATTTATATTACCATGCTTATTCTTAATAGGGACCTACGAGAAAATTATTGCCGAAATCCAGATGGGGCTGAGTCACCCTGGTGTTTTACCACTGATCCAAACATCCGAGTTGGCTACTGCTCCCAAATTCCAAAATGTGACGTGTCAAGTGGACAAGGTAATAACTGACAATTTGCAGTGTGGGCATGATTAAATTCAGAGGACATGCCTAAGGGAGAGTACGTTTTATAGCAGAAGATCCTGTTCTTTTTGCATTGTTCTTGCTGGTTAGTCAAGAGGATCACCAAGTCTGAAGTTGGATTTATTTTATATATTCATTGACTCGTCCTTTATTTGCTTATTTATTTACTTATTTATGTGAGAGCTGGGCACAATACTAGACCCTGGAGATGTAGCAGTAAATAAACTAAATTATCTGACCCCAAAGAACTACTTCCCAACAGACTGAAAACATGTGCCCTCCTCCCCCCCAAAAAAGGTGTGGGATTGCTTTCCTAAGTGTCAGGTAAGTGATAGAAGGATCTTCAGCCTAGAGTTAGAAAAGGGAGGTGATTTTTATATTTTAATGGTCAGGAAGATGTCAGTTATTAAGATGACCTTTAAGAAGGGCAGAAGGAAGTGAGGAAGCAGCATATGTCTGTGTAAATATACRTAGAGACCATTCTAGGAAAGGAAACCATAATTGCAAATGGTATGAGATGAGGGAGTGCTAGAAAAGTTAAAGGAAGTACAATAAGCACATCACTATGGCTGGCACAGAATGAGAAAGACAGAGAGCAGGGAGAGATGAAGTTGTAAAAGCTGTTGCGTTAAAATTCCATTGGTCTTGTAGAACTTGGAAGGATTTGCATTTTTATTCCAAAAGGAAGGGGACTGTGTTGGAGTGCTCTGAAAGGTCATGCTATCAGACTTAAGTTTTATCTGGATCTTTCTGTCTATTATAAAATAGCCAGAATCCTTGACAAGGGTTAAAACAAGAGAACAAAAGAATTAGGTGTTTCGATAGATGAAAGTGACTTGGTCCTGAGTGTTAGCAGTAGAGATGATGTGTAGTAGTGGGATTTGGGATAAATGACCATTGTAATTGAAAACATAGGTGCTCTGAAGAAAACTGTTTCAGGGAACAATTGAAAAGTCATTTTGAAATTGGTTTAAAAAGAAATAATCTGTTAATGATTACTAATGCTGAACACTTGAAATTTGTTGGTATATAAGTTGAAAAATCATGATTTTTAAGTGATCATACTCTATTTCACAAAATTTTAAAATGATGCTTATGGTCTTGGTCAGGTCCTAAATCATCCTAAAAGAACCTGAGCGTAACATATACTCCATTTCATGCATACATCTTCTATCCTTTAAGTTATCCTCCAATACCATTGTTCTTGACCAATTCTGAAAATAGAGTTGTAGAGACAAGAGGGGATAAGTCCCTTTTCAGTCAATTTCACTATTCTTTGGCAGACTTTAAAGGTCATTGGAAATAATGTGGAAACCAGTAATTAAAGAACATTTGGTACCAGCTGAGCCTCCTTGTCTCTTTCACATGAGCAATTATCGATAATTTGTGAGTGACTGAAAAAATTAGAATATTTTTATAAGCTTCTGGTGTGTATTAAAATGTTTTTATATACATATATGTCACTTACAAATGGATCAGGTAATAGAATATAGTAATTCCGTATTTTGGATGTTGGGCAGATGTTTTTGTTTATCTAGTAAATTTATTCAATAAAAGATTAAAATTAGTTTTATGAAATTCAAATAATTTTCCCAGATTCCACACTGGCACAGCTGGTATTGAATCTGACTCTCCTTATAATGTCTTCTTCTTMTTATTCTCTGTTTTCTCCCTTTCATTCATTTTTTTTAACAGTATACCTGATCAACACAAATGTGCTAGACTCTGTAGGGTACACTCTGTGGAGAACATACACACCTGTGACTTAGGAAACTGTTAGACATTTAGCTGTGAAATTTTAACTGACTGTTATACCATTGTATGGTACACTATCAAGCTAATATTAGCATTACTATCCATCTATCCATCATATATATTTTCATCTCTCTGTATACAGGAATTGATCCAGCATATACATATATAAAATGATATTGCTCTTATACCTCTCTGAGGAACAGGAAATATAAATTTCACATAGAGTTTAATGAGTTGGAAACCTATTTTCAAATTTTACAACATCTGGATTAGAATGTATACAAGTTGCCTTTCCAGTTGGATATTAGATAACTATTAAAAGAGAACAAAAAATTGAAATTGTAGAATTTTTAAAATGTTGATAAAACTATACTTGTTACATGTTAGATTATATAATACACACTTAAATAAGTAAAAGAAAAATTGTAGGGGCTGGGTTTGTGGCTCAGTGGTAGAGTGTTTGTCTAGCACATGTGAGGCACTGGGTTCTAACCTCAGGACCATATAAAAATAAACAAATAAAATAAAGGCATTGTGTCTATCTGTAACTCAAAAAATATTTCAAAAGAAAAATCATAGCTTTAAGTATTTTTATCAATATCATATAATAATGAAATTAAGTGAATTTCTAACTAAAAGAGCTRAGGCAAAAGTAAACTAAGAGAAACAAGAAATAGCGATTGAAAAAGGAAATATCACCATAGACACTACTGAAATACAGATAATAATCAGAAATTATTTTGAAAATCTGTACTCCAACAAAATAGAGAATCATGATGACATCAATAAATTTCTAGATATATTTGACCTACCCAAACTGAACCAGGAAGACAAATAAAATTTAAACAGAACAGTTTCAAGCAATGAAATTGAAGACGCCATCAAAAGCCTACCAAAAAAAGAGAGGCCCAAGACCAGATGGAGTCTCAGCCAAGTTCTACCAGACCTTCAAAGAAGAACTTACACCAAAACTCCTCAAATTATTCCATGAAATAGAAAATCAGGGAACTGATTTTCTAAACTTGTTCTATGAAGCTATCAACCTCATACCAAACCAGACAAAGAAACATCAAGGAAAGAAAAATTAAAACCAAGATGCCTCATGAACATAGATGCAAAAATTCTTAATAAACTCCTGGAAAATCACATACAAAAACATATTTGAAAGATAATGCACCATGATCAATGTGGGGTTCATTCCAGGGATACAAGGTGGGTCAACATAATAATCAACAGATTTAAAGACAAGGACCACATGATTAACTCAATAGATGCAGAAAAAGCATTTGACAAAATTCATCATCCATTCATTCTCAAAATACTAGAAAAAAAAGATGCTATGGGTGTCCTATTAAGGAATTTGGAGCCCCCCCCCAAAAAAAGATGGCATAGTATTAGCACTAAAGCAGACATGCAGATCAAAGGTACAGAATAGAAGACAAAGAGAAGAACCCATATAAATATAGTTATCTCATACTAGACAACGGAACCAAAAACATACATTGGAAAAAAGAAATGCTTTGAAAACTGGAAATCCATATGTAATAGATTGAAATTGAAACCCTATGTCTAACCCTGAACAAAACTCAACTCAGAGTGGATCAATGACTTTGGCTTTAGAGGAGAGACCCTGTGCATACTAGAAGAAAAACTCTCTACCATATTGGCTCAGGAACAGACTTCCTCGACAAGAATCCTAAAGCACAAGAAGTAAAATCAAGAATCAATAAATGGGATGGCATCGAACTAAAAAACTTCTTTACAGCAAAGGAAACAATCAAGAACATGAACAGAGAGTCTACATAATAGGAGAAAATCTTTACCACCTGTATCTCAGAGCATTAATCTCTAGGATATACAAAGAACTCAAAAATCTTAACACAAAAAACCGAACAACCCAATCAATAAATGGGCAAAGGAACTGAACATGAATCGCACAGAAAAAAGAAAAACAAATGGTCAAAAATACATGAAAAAATGTTCAAGATCTCTAGCAATTAGAGAAATGTAAATTAAAATTACACTCAGATTTCATCTCACTGCAGTCAGAATGGTAATTATCAAGAATACAAGTAACAATAAATGCTGGGGAGGATGTGAGGGAAAACGTTCACTCATACATTGCTGGTGAAACCACTCTGGAAAGCAATATGGAGATTCCATAGAAAACTTAGAATGGAACAACCATTTGACCCAGTTATCCCACTTCTTGGCTTATATACAAAGGACTTAAAATCAGCATACTATAGTGATGCAGTCACATCAATATTTATAGAAGCTCAATTCACAATAGCCAAGCTTTGGAATGAACCTAGGTGCCCTTCAACAGATGAATGGATAAAGAAAATATGGTATATATACAGAATAGAATATTACTCAGCTATGAAGAAGAATGAAATTATGGCATTTGCTGGTAAGTGGATGGAGCTGGAGAATATCATGCTAAATGAAATAAGCCAATCCCAAATAAACAAAGGTTGAATGTTCTCTCTGATATGTGGATGCTAACCCATAAAAAGGGAAGGTAGGTAGGGAAAGTATAGATGTTCATTGGATTAGACAAATGGAATTAAGGGAAGGGAGGGAGGATGGGAATAGGAAAAACAGTAGAATGAATATCAGACATAACTTTACTATGCTCATATAAGAATACACAACCAGTGTAACTCCACATCATGTTCAACCACAAGAAYRTGATCAAAATTGTAATGGGTTGCACCCCATGTATGTATAATATGTCAAAATATACCCTACTTTCATGTATATCTAAGGAAAAACATAAAATAAGGGATTAACAAAGGTGAGAAAAGACAAAGGATAGAACAAATAATTTAAAAGGATGATTTTTTTTTTAAAAATTAACAAAACAGACAACTAATAGCTAAGTGACTCAAGAAAGATAAAGCCATGTGTCAGGCTGCATGCCTGTAATGCCAGCAGTTTGGTAGGCTGAGGCAAGAGTACCATGAGTTCAAAGCCAGCCTCAACAACTTAGCAAGGCCCAAAGCAATTCAGTGAGACCTTGTCTCAAAATAAAGTAAAATAAAATAAAATAGGGCTGGGAGTTGAGCTCTCAGCCTTTGGATTCAATCCCTGGAACCAAAAGAGACGGGGAGAGAGAGAGAAGAAAGGGAGAGAGAAAAACCAAACTATATAAAATAATAATTATTTAAGGATAAATAACAGCAAATAAGAAAATTAGAAAGCATAAAGTCTACTTTATACTACTTGATGCAAAATCTTTTTTAAAATGGGTTCTTTTCTAGGAAAAAATCAAATGATTTAACCCTGAAAAAAAGCATAAGTAAATTCATACCTTTAGAAAAAAATAAATTTTTTCTAAAGAGCTATTGTGTCAGAAATACACCATGACCAGAAATATTCAGATGATCCCAATGCTATACATGCCCCTAAATCATACAAAATGTAATAAAACTTCCAAATTATTTTTATGGTGCAGTGTAATTTTGATATCTAAACATGATAAAGATAACATGGAATAAAAACAATTATAAACCTACCTTATTTGCAGATTTTAATATAAAAATTTTAAGTCAAATTTGAATGAGTAGTCCAGTAAAGGAATTAGGAAAATAATACATAATGATTGAATGGAATTCAAGAATACAAAAGTGGTTCCATATTAGAAATGATTAATTCATCTTAGATGAAGAAAAACAATCATATCATAAGTGTCAATATTTTCTAAAATTCCAATGATACAGTTATCCTATTTCTCATACAAGTATACAATTAAGTCAGAATTTTTGGGTTTTAATAAGATGTACATATGTGTGTATATGTGTGTATATGTACAAACATATATGTATAACCATGAATGTATTTATTTATACCTAGAGACTTCCTTAAAATACATATTCATGTTTTATTATACACATATACAGATATACACACCACATATATACTTCCATATCATATATTATACATATATATATATATATATATATATATATATATATATCAGTCATAATGTCATCACTTAATAAGGAATTAGCTTTCCTACCAATATTAAAAAGAAAAGAAGTATTTCTAAAATCTATTACTATTTAACATTGCAAATATAATTTGACATTGTTTCTCTCTTTAACACTGCATTGCAGATGTTATTCTGAGCAATTAGATAAGAAACATATTGATTAGAAAGGACAAAGTAAAATATCTCTGAATTATGTTATACTGCTATAACTGGTAAATGGAATTCAAACAGTAAAAAATTCACTAAGGTAAAAAGATATATAGTTAACATGTAAATATCACTAGCACTTTTATATGAGCTTGCAGATTTAAGGAGAAAACTATGCTAGGAACAAAAATAATGAAAATTTAATAATAAGTTTAGAAAAAAATATACAAAATATATGTGATAAAAATTTTAAGTCATTTCTGAAAAAAAGCCATTAAAAGGTTCAACATGTGGAAAAATAAACCTTGTTCTTGATATAAGTTCAACATCTTAAATATATAATTCCTACCTCAACTGAGGTATACATTTAATGTAATATGAGTCATTTTTCTGAAAATTAAATTAATTTATTCTAGCTTTCTCAACAAACTATTTTGTAAGTATAATAAGGAATACTTTGAAAACGAAGATGAATCAGAGAGAATTAACCCTAACATTGAAATAAAATAATACATGGAATAGTGTTATTTTTAAAAATAGAAAAACGTTTTCAGAAGAACTTGATTTTTTTTGTTGTTGTTGTTAAGAATATGGACACTTCCATCAATGTTTTATAGGATACAAATTGCTCAATGAAAAAAAAAAGAAAAAGAAAACCTCTTGTGACATGGTAAGAGACACAGAAGTTAGTTCAGTGGCTTCCACTGGCCAAATGAACATTTCAAGAATCAAAAACTGATAACAGGAATGGGTTATTTATAACATTGAATAAAAAGAGAATCCACAAGTCCACATTTATATTACTACTTCCATTAAAATAGTTAAAGTTATATTACTAATCTCTAAAGGAAAGTTGAAGAGAGAATCTTATTTTCAAAAGAATGACAATCTAATAAATGTAAAGAAATAGAAGTAGAAAAAAATCATTTTTACAAAGAGCAAAGTAGCAACTGATACACAAAAAAAATGTGTTCAAATATGCCTCGCCCTTTTTGTGAATATCTGTTTGGTAATAGGATGTCATTCAGTTGCAAAATCCCCAACAGAGTTTTTGTTGTTTTTAATATGAAGAGAAAGATTTTCCTTTATAACAAAATAATCAAAATGAGCACTGCATCCAGTGATGGACCAAACAAGCATCCTGTGTCACACACAGCCTGTAATGTTCTGAGAAGGACCAACCGTTGCCTATGTAATCTTCCTGTCAAATATCATTAACTTGTTTTCACTCTTACAAAAACAGAAAGATTGAAATTGCAAAGCATTTATGGAACAGGTGTCATGGGTGATTGAGGATGTCATGTCATGAAAAGCAAAAATCAAAACATAAGTGAAGTGATTGGTAAGATTCTCACCTCATTATTCTTGCAAATTTTCTATGAAATCTAATTTTTTCAGAAGAAAATTCTGGGAAGAAATATGTCATTCTAGAAATTCTAATTTATTTGGTGTTCTAAAAGGATAACTTAATCTATTTTTTGGCTTATTATTATTTGGAAAATTTGAAATTACAGACGCACTCATTTGAAGGAAGTAGAAATTGGGCTGAAAATAGAAACATTTTAATCTAAGGTAGTTAAGTCTCTTTAATTTGTGCAGACTTCAGGTTGCATAGTCTTAATATTTTGATTTTCACGATTTTATGTGGTGGTAAAATGTCGTTGTTTTATTCTCCATAATAGTCATTAACTTTCATTTTGTATGTTTTATGTCTAGATTGTTATCGTGGCAATGGAAAAAACTACATGGGCAATTTATCCAAAACAAGATTTGGACTCACATGTTCAATGTGGGAGAAGAACATGGAAGACTTACATCGGTGTGTAAATTTCTTTCTTTCAGTATACCTCATGCAGAGATAACAGCATATATATATATGTGTGTGTGTGTGTGTGTGTGTGTGTGTGTGTGTGTGTGTCTGTGTGCGCGCGCATGTGTGTACACACATACACATATATTTTCAGAAATACACAGTATTATTTCTTTTTATTCTTTTATCACAGTAAGTTAATAAAATATTAGATTGATTTTTCTGTACAACTCATTACATTGTCTCTGCATGAAGCAAACTTTTAAATAGGCAGTTTAATCCTGGATATATTCATTGAGCATTCACTGTATTTTATGCCGTATAATTGGTACTATGGGAACACCAACAAAAAGTGAATAAAACATTTGGTTCTAAACTTCAAGGAGGATATGGTCACATGTAAAAACCAGCTTAAAAGATAGTGTATAATTAAGAGGCATATTTGGTGTTTCAAATAGTGCAAATCAATAGCAGTTTTTCAAAAATCATGTGATCATTGTCATATACATATTTACCTCAAATAACTACTTAAGTACTAAAAATTTATAGAAACAAAATTTCTTGCTTTAACATATAAAAGTTTGCATAGTTACAGAAATGTGTATGTAATTTTTAAAGATCTATATATTTGAGAGAATTATATACTTTTTGTGGGCATTATTCACAAAGAGGGTAGTATTCACTCATGCCTAGAAATAGTGCTAATGTTTATTAAATTGTAAAAGAAGTATGATACATAGTTGAAACCTAAATCAATTTTTTTTAGTAAACATTCTAGAATATGTGCACTAGAATAGAAGAAAAAGAAAAAAATTAAGTTAGGGTCATTTAATCAAGTACCCAGATCACTGCTGCTTTATGTGAACTGTTATGTCATTTGGCCACCATATTACTATACAGAAGATTTTTCTAAATGTGAATAAGAACTCAAGCATCTGAGAACCTTTRGTTCAGTTTTACTTTAATTTTAAAGAATTTTATTCTCTTCCAGAATGTATTGAGTGGTGGGTGAAATTATTTTAGTTAATTTACTYCACAAATAAATATCAACAGTTCTAAAGCATTGCGAATATTAATATAATGCAACTCACAAATATGTCACATACATAACATGTAAATTTCCTGATAGCCACTTTTAGAGAAGCAAAAWTCATCAAAAAAYAATATTAATGTATTTTATTTATATATGAAGTTCATTTCAATGTTTCCTACATGAAAATTATTAATGAGATCTTGAGATTCATTTTCATACTAGATGTTCAAAATTTGATATATATTTTACACATATAGCACCTCTCTATTTAAGCTAGCATATATCAGTTTCTCAGTGATATGTGACTAATAGCTACCATATTGGACACTGTAGTTCTAGGACTTTAAAGATGATCAGCGTTCTGTCCCCATAGATTTCATGCTCTAATAGAGGATGTAAGGAAACAGGAACTGTTGGTACCATATTAAAAAAAAAATAATGAATGAGCACATTTTATGCTGTGGGAATTTGGGGGAAATGCTTATCCAGACTGAAAACTGTCAGGAAGCATTCCAAAGAGAAAGACATTAACTGGAGTATCCATCATGAGTAAGAGTTGGCCAAGGGAAATGCAGTAGGAAGAACTTATCACACAGCAAGAATAGTTTGTGCAAAGTCCCAAAGGTGAAAGCATTTGAAAACAGGAAATAATGTTGGTAGGGCTGAGAGTGTAATTTGGTCAATGTCCACAGGGAAAGAATTCTCCAGCAGCAATACCATATGAAGAAACACGTAAGATGAGTGAAGAAGTTTGATCTTTATCCTAAACATTAAAAGAATTTATTAAAGATGTTTAAGCAAAATTAACATGATTTAAATTAAATGCTGATTTTGACACTGCTATTTTTATTGATTCATTATAATTATACATAAAAATGGGATTTATTTTGATACATTTGCATATGCGCAGAACATAATTTGGTTGATTTATTTTCCTATTACCTCCACTTAAGCATGATGTTCTCCAGTTGCATTCATTTTTCAGTAAATGRCATAATTTTATTCYTTTAAACTGCAAAAAACTATATTGTCCTTTATGATTGAAAATACACACACATTTTCTTTATCTATTCATCTGTTGATGGACRCCTAGACTGGTTTCATGCCTGGGCTATTGCAAATTGTACTGCTATAAACATGTATCACTATAGTATGCCCACTTTAGTTCTTTTGAATAAATACTAAGCAATAGTATAGCTGGGTCATGTGGTCATTCCATTCCTAGTTTTTTGAGAAATCTTCATATTCATTTCCATAGTGATTATACTAATTTGAAGTCTCATCAACAATGTATAAATAACTCYCTGTATCCTCATCAACATTTATTATTATTATATTCTTGATTATTGACATTCTAACTGAGGTGAGATGAAATGTCAGTGTAGTTTTGATTTGCATTCCCTGATTGTTAAAGATGTTGAACATTTTGGACATTTGTAGTTCTTCTGTTTAGCAATATCTGTTTAGTTCATCTTTCTATTTATTGATTGTATTATTATTATTTTTCCTAGTGTTAAGTCTTTTGRGTTCTTTATGTATTCTGGATATAAATCTTCTGTCCAAAGAATAGCTATCAAATAGTTTCTCCCATTCTATGACATATCACTTCATACTCTGGTCTGCTTCCTTTGCTGTATAGAAGCTTTTAAATTGGATGCTATCCCATTTGTTTATCCTTGATTGATTTCCTGAGCTTTCRGAGTCTTATTGAGGATGTCAGTGCCTGTGCATATATGTTGGAGTATTGACCCTATGTTTTCTTCAGCAGTAGTAGAGCTTCTGATCTAATTCTGAGGTCTTTGATCTACTTTAAGTTGACTTTTATGCAAGGTGAGAGATAGGAATCTAGTTTCATTCTTCTACATATGGATATCCACTTTGTTTAAAAGTCCATCTTTTCTCCAATGTATGTTTTTGGCACCTTTGTAAGGATCAAATGATTGCATCTGTGTGGATTTGTCTTGTATCTTGTATTCTATTCTGTTTTTCTATGTGTCTGGTTTTATGCCAGCACCATGCTCTTTTTGTTACAATAGCTCTGTAGTATAATTTAAAATTAGGTATTGTGATGCCTCCAACATTGCTCTTTTTACTAAGAATTGCTATGATTATTCTGGGTCTTTTTTCTTTCATATTTTTTTTTCTAATTCTGTGAAGCATGTTATTGGTATTTTGATGGGGATTGTATTGGATCTGTAGACTGCTTTTGATACTATGTCCATTTTAACAAGATACATTCTGCCTATCATATAATCTTTCTTCATTGCTATATAAATTTCATTATAAATATGTTTTACCTCCTTGGTTAGATTTATTCATAGATATTTTAAAGTATTTTTAGTAATGGTAATGGCCAGTGGTGGTTGGATTAGATCTAGTGCTTATGGATTTTTTTTTTTCTGTACCAAGGATTGAACACAGGGGTGCTTAACCACCACTGAGAAACATCTCCAGCCCTTTTTAGGTTTTATTTTGAGACAGGGTCTCACCAAGTTCCTTAGGGCCTCGTTTGGTTGCTAAAGCTGGCTCTGAACTTGGGATCCTCTTGCCTCAACCTCCTGAGCTGCTGGGATTGCAGTCACGTGACACCACATCAGATTTTTATGAACTTTTGAAAGATGATAGTTTCTGTCTCTTCCCAACACTGTCTTCAGTGATTTTTATATTGGAAGGTTGAATTTTTCATGGTGGAAGTATTTATGCCACAGAAATCAACAAGGCCTATAAATAAGGTCTTTCCCTTCCCAGTATACACATATCTTAGGGGACTACTTGTTAAATGTTTACTGCATGTTGCTAGAAATATGTGATATATTAATTTTGGGACCTTAATGCTAATAACTATTAAATCACTGAGTTTAGGCTTAATATTTGAAGTAGTTAAAAGTTATTTGAAAACAGTTTGTAGGAAATTTATGAATGATCAAGCTTTATGGTACCATTTTTGTTTTAAGAATAAATTATGCAAGGAGGAGGTAGAACATGGTGATTTTGAGCATTGACTCTGGAAAGAGCCATAAGTTTCAATCCTAGCTCTATTATTTACTATCCATGTAACCTTAGAATAATTACTTGTCCTCTCTGMTTGTCAATTTCCTCAAATGAAATAGATATAGTCTTAAATCACATTTTGCAAGACTGGTCTAAGTTTATATCTGTAAATAACTTATAGCATAATCTGGCACACAGGAAAGCCTATATGTATTTGCTACAGCTATTGGCCAAAAAATGAAACTGGTTCTGGAAAAATAGTTCAAGTTTCCATATTAAAGCTCTTTCTAATTTAATTTCAAATCCCACATTAGTTATATTCAAGAATAGTAGTCATTAATAACACAAAACRAATTACGTTATAATTTTCATGACTTGGTCAGAGATGGCAGGTAGAATTTGACCTCATTAGTGTTACTGAAGTGAATGTAAATATACACTAACATATTTGGACATGGTCTTAGAAAATAACACAGAATTTTTTCTTTTCCTTTGTAATGAATTTTCACACATAAATTTCAAAGGTTGATATGTTAATTGCCTGTTAGAAAATCATATTTTATAACCATATGGCCAGTAAAATCTTCTAATTCACTCATTTCATTGGCACTTTATTAATTTTTACTATAGTTCCCTGTTCTTTGGGGTTGTGMTATTGCTAATGGTAATTCATATACAATTGAAACATGAAAAACTTTCAGAATAGCTTATACCTCCTAGGTATTTGATACTTTTGATCTTTGGATCTGTTTGCTTTTAGATGATATTTTTCTATTTCTATACATGRAGGTATTTGTTACTTTGACACTATGATTATTAGATAGAAGTGAAATCACAAAACCCCTCATCATTTTATACAGGCAAATTATGGAGCACTTCACCACATTCTTAAGTTAGAATGTATGCTTACTAACTGTAAGAACAGCAAGGAAGTAAATCTCCAACAAAACAACTAAAATTCACACCAAGTAGATGCTTATTTTATGTTCAATCAGTGATATAATAGGATGATATATTTTGTTTCTTTTGGATGGAATAAGCCTGTACTGATGTTCAGCTTTTTGTTTACCCAGTCACATCTTCTGGGAGCCAGATGCTAGTAAGCTGAATAAGAATTACTGCCGGAATCCTGATGATGATGCCCATGGACCCTGGTGTTACACGGGGAATCCTCTCATCCCTTGGGATTATTGCCCTATTTCCCGTTGTAAGTACATTTATTGTTCTTTTCTCAATTGAAATACTTTAAACGTACTGCGCATCCATTAATTTCCCAATCAAAGATGTAAATAATATAGGACTCAGCTTATCAGAGAGCAAGAGAAGCACACATAGACACACACACCATACAGATGCTCTCTCTCTCTCTCTCTCTCTCTCTCTCTCTCACACACACACACACACACACACACATATACACACACACACACTTTTCTTCTATTCAAGAAGAAATTTGCTAAAATTTAAAATTTTTCTTTTTTTTGAGAAAATCCTCACTTGGAATCCAGAAGCAGTAAATGTTTATGAGTCCAACATGTCAGTATGGAAAGACCCATCCAGTCAGAGATGTCATAGTACCAGTTCAGTCTCTGAATATAGCAGAGCTCTCAGGAAATCCCTAGCCCACTAAAAGTCTCAAGAGCAGACCTGAGGTAGTACTTCCATCTCTTAATCAGTTTTTTAACCCAAAATTGAAAAGTATAGCACTTTCTACCCACTTCTCTTAGTCCAACATGGTTTTGTTAAAAGGGTATTAGTGCATGAAGTAAAMGGTAGGTGTAAGATATTTAATACATGTTTGATCATATAAAATTTGAAGTCATATATTTCACATAAATAGCTCTTATATAACATCAAGAAAAAGATGTGAGAGAAAATAATGCAGAGAATGAATCTTTAAGAATAAATATAGTTAATGAACAAATGAAAAGATGTTAAAACTAGTAAAGGAAAAACAAAATTTAAAGAGCATGGAAAATGATTTCTGCTTATCAGATTGTCAAATAATAAAATGATTGTTAACATTAATGGAAGCTTGGGTAGTCACACTTTCTCAATACTATGCTACTTTGAGAATATTGAAAAGCCTGTATGGAAGTAATTTGGAAGGTTGTATTAAAAGTAATAATATAGATGTTAACCAGGAATTTTCTACTTTTGCACTACTAACATCTGGGTTTGGATAATTCTTTATCCTACGAGTCTCTTTTGAGTACTATAGGAAGTTCAATAGTGCCCTAGCTTTAGCCCATTGGATGCCAGTATCAACATCCTCCCCTCCCCCTACCCCACTACCCATCATAACAATAAAAATATCTCTAGACATTGCCAATCATSCCACCCCTCCAGGGGGCAGGCAAAATTACCCATTGAACTACACTGATTTTATTAACATGTATTCTTCACAATAATAAATAATGAAACACCTTATATATTTGCAAATAAATGGTATTTCCTGTTATATTTTATTTCATCAACTAAAACCAGAATCCTTCAAATTATAGTGTTTTCCTAATGTTCTGCCTCTGTTCCCATGTGAAAGGTTTACATAGATATTCAAAATATTCTTCTGGGGAAGATGTCTTCCAAGTTCTAACACTAAAACAGACAAACAAATGAAGAAACAAGTTTACCTCTCCAGAGAATACCATATAATGTATGATTAAAGGATTATTATTGTTATTATTATTATTATTATTATTATTATTATTATTAGGGTTCTAGGGATCAAATCCAATGCCTATCAGCATGATAGGCAAATACTCTATTTCTGAGCAACATCCCAGCTCAGTTAAATTCTAGTTTTACCTCATTGTACCTTTTGTGATGTCTCCATGACCAGGAACAATGGAGTCACACAGAATATAGAGTGATTGAGGAAGAATGAAAAAAATGATCCACCTTCTAAAGCAGGTTATATTGCTGTACTAACTGAATTTCTAATTATAAAAATCACAGCACATATCTATTGTCAGGTGTAAAAGGCTCTGGTAGGATCTCAGAGCCCTGGGACTAGTTTACAAACTTAACTAAGGGAAACAGCATTCTAATAATTTTGAAGGTTCAAAAACTTTTTAAACAGCATTTTCAAAATAAAAGGCACTAATGTGCTGTTGAAAGACTTCAGGGTGTTGTATTTGATTAAATGCTATTGCAGATAATTCATTTTTATTTCAAAGTGTACTGAACATTAGTTTCAATAAATATTTTTGCACTGTCATTGATTCAAGTAATATTTATAGCTAGGATTTATTTACATTTTTCTCTCTGGTGAAAGGCTAATGAAATTTATCTTTAGAAGATTTGAGTTCTTATTATTTATTTAACTTCAGAGACTGTATTAATCATTTTCACACTGTACATTTCTCTCCCAAAACATGTAAAGGTTTTTATTCATTTTCTTCAAAAATACTTACAAAATATTAAAAAATAATGTTTAACATATTTTTAAGCTTATCAAATGTGCAAAATAAAATGTAGAAATGCTTTATGTTTGTTTACACACACACACACACACATACACACACACACACACACACACACTTTAGAATATCTTGGCAAAATCTTAAGCATTTATGGCAGAGAATGTAGTGGTTAAGAGTTTCAATTCAGATTACCTGAGTAAGAGTCCCCGTCTTGGGCAAATTACTTAGCCTACTTATGACTCATTCTGTATTTGTTAAAATGTGCAATAAATGCACCTATCTTATTGGGCTATTGCATATAACATCTATTGCATAGTAAGGACTTAAAAACTTGATTTCTGTTTTTATTTGTTCATTTGTTCATAATTTAAAATGAACTACTATTGTATACAAAGCCCTATAAAATATGTTATGCATACAAAAACATATACACACAGTTTCTTAATCTCAAATCTTAATCTCAAATGCTTTATARCATAGAGAAGAAACAGTCATATAAACAATTGCAAAGCCATATAATCACGTAGTAAATATATATTGATATATAAAATAAGAATGAACTTCGTTGTTTGCTGGAGAAATATGTAATCTTCATCAAGTTTTGAATGAGAGTTAAAAGTTTGAAAATATACTGAAATAAAGCTTTATGTTTTCTAAAAGTGTGCAAATTTAGTTCTGAGGCATAAAGATTCACACACACACACACACACACACACACACACACACACACAAAACTGCTCTTCCATAGGTAAAACTCTTATCATAGATGTTTTTTAATCAAATTTTAGCTGAACTGATAAAAATAAGATTTATATCACATGTGTTTTTCTTACATGAGTAATGTGGTAGAGACAAGTGGGGGAAGTAAATAAGGTGGAGTGAGGTTAATATTTGGAAGTGAAATGAAGAAAGCCTGGAGATCAGCATCACAAAGTTTTGTCCCATGTGTATGCCAGAAGAACCTGTGGTGCTCCTTAAAACCTCAGAAGCCCAGAATCTCCAGAAATCTGGTTTTAAATGGCATTTCAATTTATTCTAAAGTGTGAGAAATATTGGATTATTAATAATTTTATTATTATTAGTTTTATTCGTTATTATTATAGAACTATTAATTTTTAAACACCAAATTTGTAATATCTACAAAAGTTTAAAATTTTAAATATTTTAGGAAGATACAATCATGAACTGATCAYTTTGCTGACATATTAACCTCAATCCTTAAAAGTAGAAGACTTCATAGGCAATAAAGGATAGAATGAATAGTTTAATTTTTTTCATTAYGAATAAATATCTAGTTATTTAAAAATTCAACTAATTGTCTTGAGTGAAAAAGCCAACATACTTGATACTCTAATATACTCTGCCTCAATCCTGCTTTATACTGTGACCTGAAACCCTGACCTCAGCTGACTCTACCACAACATTTCCCCAGGATAAGGAAAAGGAAAGGAAAGGAAAGAGATTTATGTTTGCCTTTACCTTTATTCATTTAAAATGCTTAGATCTGAAAAATGAACATAAATAAAAAACTGTTTAGCATGAATTAATTCCCTTGAGCATCCTAATACATAACAATCAATTTCCATCTCTTCCAAAGGAATTTATGTTCCATTATTGTTTTGTTGCAGGTTTATTTGAGTCCAGGGCATTTGCATGAATTAAGAACCAGCTGGATGTAGATGGTGCCTGACTGAACTCTAAGCCATCAATTCTGAACAGTTAGACATTGAGCTTTAGGAAATGTCTTGTGTTTCATTCATTATTCACAACTATTTCCAAAATTCTAGCATCTTCTAAGCTTTTCTTTTTGCAGCAATTAAAACCCGGTAGAGAGGTCATGAAGAAGAAAATTATGAAGATTTAGGTAGAATTAATAATGTCTAGTTTCCATTGTTTTTCTTTCTTTCCATACTTTTTTWAAAAAAAAATAACATCTGGGAAAAACAATCTTTGGAATATGCTAACAACAAAAGAGATTTTACTTCTCTTTCTAAGAGTGACATTGATTTCTTCTAGATTTTTTTTTTTTGCAGAGACTTCTGAAACATGGATAACATGTATAGTTTCAATAATTCTCAACCTTCAACTTTTTTTCTGAAAGCAGTTTTGAGGAAAAAAATTAAATAGCTTAAAATTACAGTAAAAACTAAATGTCCTATCTATCTGAAAGGCTATGAGAAGTAATCCTATTAATGAAAGTCCATTGTGTACAACATTGAGCATCTTAATAGAATGAGACAGCAGCTCTTTGAAGTTAGCAGTATRATTCAATTTGCCAAAGGTCATCCAACTAMACACCTGATGGTATCTACAATCGTAAAATAAGACTTTTCTCATATTAATGAGTGTCAGTAGTCACGTGCACAAGAAATTGTCCAGTAAAAGTGATACAAAATTGCTCAATAAAATAATATTACATTTTATCTTTTAATAAAATGCAAGGATTTTGATAAATTCCCCAGTTCATCAAAACTTGATTTTAATATGTAGCTTTGGTTTTACATACAGAAATATGTATGAATCATATATGTTTCTAAATATTTATATTTACAGGTGAAGGGGATACCACACCTACAATAGTCAATTTAGACCGTAAGTATTCTTTCAAAATATAAACTATATATCTGAGTCTCTGTGTGAAACAAATGATGTCATTATTTCCTTTATAGAAAAAAAATCTTATTACTATAACAACTTCCATCATAAATATAAGTCAATCTGTTTGTTTTATTTTTAAATATGTATTTTCCTATATGTGGGTGGAAGATAGTCAAAGGCAACTGCATTCTAAATATGAAATTCAACTCAGAAAATTTCCAAGATATTCCATTTGATTTTGAAAAGAAGACTTACATCTACTTTCAATTTTGGGACACAATGTGTCTAATGGATCACTTTTATAAACCTCACCTTCCAAATGAAGTCAGGGTGCTGAATTCAGAAAGAATGAAGTCAGGGACTAGATGGTTAGTCAGTGCCTCTGTTATGTTCTCTTTAAAGCATTTTGCAGGCCCTAGAGTCTATTAGATAAAAGGGGACACCATCTAAAAAGTTCAGTTACTCCTCAAAATGAGAATCTGTGGAAGCTACTTGCCTTAAATTTTCAAATATTTTTTGAACTGAAACAAGTTACTCAAGTGTTTTGTTTTAAAAGACCACCCTGCTGTGCCCCAGGAAAGGAAGCCAATGAAAATCTATTCTAGACCATGGACAGAGTACAAAGGATAAGACAAGGAACTATAGAGGAGGGTTAGGCAAACGTTTACTCCAAAGAATTCTGAATTATGTCCCTTGTACATAATGATTTGGATATAAGGACACCATTTGGATATAATTTCAATAACTATAATGTTGGTAACATGTTCAAAATAGCTCTACATTCTTACCGTACCAATTCATTACCAAATATGGTTTTGTTTTGTTTTCAATTAGGCTATTGATTGCTATTTAGAAATAACCATTGCAAATAACAYTTTTTAATTCATTTTATATTAAGGTTGGTATAGGGAATACATTTGTGTTGGGGCCACTGTCACTATGATGACAGTCTTGTCTGCCTTGAGTTCATTAGTTTTTCTAAGTCACTCAACAAAAAAGATGAGGATGGCAAATATTAGGGACTTGATTCTGAACTTTGGTCTTATAATACTCTTTTCCCAAAATGTCTTGATACAATTACAGTAGTTACATTTTTTTCTAGGTATTATTGCACTTATGAAAACTAACAGGTGTTGATTATTGGAAAAATATTATCTTAAAATGTTATATTTGCCCTGTTTTCAGATCCTGTAATATCTTGTGCCAAAACAAAACAATTGAGAGTTGTAAATGGGATTCCAACACGAACAAACGTAGGATGGATGGTTAGTTTGAAATACAGGTAATTACTAATAGATACAAATCATATATATTCAATCTATTTGCAAAGCCAGATTCCCAGCTGTATGGTCACATGTGGTCATAAAGATTATACCCTCCRCTGGCACTCAGTCAGGGAGGTCAATGAGGGGTCTGATCATATTCTTACCAAACTATAAGCACTGGATTTTGCAATTTTACTTCATTTTATTTAKTTAKTTATTTTTAATTTTAATTATTTAAAGTCATAGATAGTCTTCATAAATTCGTTCACAGAATTTCCATATATGCAGCCATTATTCCTGATTCCAAGTAACACTTTAGATTAATAAGAGACAACCACAAGAACTTCTTATACCTTAATATCACCATAGTAATTATTTATCTCTTTAATTTTCTACTCTTGGGTATTATAATTTTATTTCCTAATATGTCTACATATAAACATCAGAAATATTTGTTTTGATTTTTTTATTTAGTTATTGAAATGAAAAGTGATATTTTTAGAATTTGAGATTATGTTATTATGAGAAAGATAAACTCTTTTAAATAGTTGAATAGTCTTGATTTTCTAACAATTGGCATGGCTAAGAATTTTAAATATTCTCAGTTCTCAGTGCTCTTAAGAACCAATGACATGTTCTACATAGAATCATTTTGCAAGTTATATCATAATAGAAAATTAAGCTTAGGAATTATGCCACAAGAATTAAATGTTGAAAATATGAATTAACTTAAAATCTCATCTTATAACTTTCTATGTCCTATATACATTAGTCTATGTGTTTCTTAGAATGCTAAGATATCTATCTCCATCAGAACTTCATCATGCAACTCACCCAAAATGCACCTGAATCCCAGCTACACTTTTCCTTGGTGCTTGAGACCCACCATGTTTCTCCCTCCAAGCTTCTATGCACTTGTTCCTACTGCATGTTGTGGCCTTTTTTCTTCTGAAAATTCCTTCTCATTCTTCAGATCCCAACTTGAATATCTCCTCTTTCATGGACACTCGCCTTCACCCCTAGCCTCCTAGAGTAGAGCAAGTATATCTATCTCTTACTATACTAGGGATATAGAATAAACACAACCTATATCTCTTACTACTACTATATATCTATATCTCTTACTAATACTAGGGATATAGAATAAACACAACCTCAAACTAAAGTCCATCTATGAAAAAATCAATTCTTGTCAAGCATGGGGTTTAGACCCTTTGACTTTCGGTCACCACAACATTGTGGGAGATGGCCTAAAGACCTTTGTCAGTATATCCTCTCAAGGACTAACTCATCAGACTTAATGTTAATGGCAGTAATTATGATGTAGCTGTCCTATGCATGCAGTACTGAAATAGAATTATGAAGCTAACTAGAATAGAAAGGTGATTGAGCATTTTGACGATTTTATAAGCACTGAAATTTTTGAAGTGTTTAATTTTCTTTTTTTATAGAAAAATGTTCTATAGAACATTTAATACAAATTTAATTTTCTGTATCATAAAAAATGTTATAAGATTCCAAATATCTTAATTGGATTAGTGATTCTTTGTTAACTCATAACCCCAGGAGGAAAAAAATATACATACTTCTGAATTATTTTTATCAACTGGAGAATATATAAGGATACTCTTCTAGTATACTTCTCTTAGGGGCTGCAAGTGGAACTGTTTTAATTCAGAGAAACATCAATTTAAAAATTTTTTTTCTCTTACAGTACAAGTTCTTAGTAACTACAGCTGTTAAGTTATTCTTCCAAAATATATACTGAGAAGGTAGAAATTCAAACTCAATATATACTCTCATCCTCCAGTGTGGTAAAGGCCATAAATTACTGTGGTCTTAGTCTGGGAATCTTTTAGTATTACCCTCTGAAGCACTGAACATCTGTACTCTTTCGAAATGTGAGTTGTGAAAAGTTGTACTTTTCCCATGTTTCTGCCAAAAAAAAAAAAAAAAATGGATTTAAAGATTTTGGATATCAGCAAACAAACGTCCTCATGCTTTTTCTTTACAAATATTTTGCAGTTTCCTAGAGGACTTGGTTTGCAAAATTAACTTCCTCTTACAAATTAAATATTATATTGATGGTCTTTTAGTAAACTATTTATTCAAACCCTGCAATATTTTAACCTATCAAAACTAAATAATGGTATGGAATGAAATAGTATAAAAATGACAAATATTACTATCACTGGATGTCTTCTTCAGGGTTTTAAGAAAACCTCCAGTTTGCATTTTTCATAATCAAATTCTGAATTTAAAACAGCTCCACATTTTTTCATTATAACCATTCTATATGCAGCACATAATTTCTCTCACAAGGATATATATATATATATATATATATATATATATATATACACACATAGATGTATGTGTTGGTTCTTTAAACCATAAAATTGATTTAATGATATGGTAATTACATTATGAAAATAAAATTGTTGATGCTGCAATCCCCAAATATCATCCTTTAGATAAAAGAACTGCTACTCATTTTAATACAGTTGGGTTAATGTCTATTTTTTTGCATTTATTTTTAACAAATAAAGCAACAGGTTTTACATTAACTGGTAGGCATTCTTTCTGCACAGATATTACTTGTTTCTCTTTCCTCTTTCTCACAGAAATAAGCATATCTGTGGAGGATCATTGATAAAGGAAAGTTGGGTTCTTACTGCACGACAATGTTTCCCTGCTAGGTAAAGTTCATTTTGTATCAGTATATGTTCTGAGAATTTAAAAACACGTATGCTTTCTGCTTAGCTTTTAAGTTTAGAGTCTATTTTACAGAGATGCTACAACATGGGGTAAACATATATTCATTCTTTTTTAATTTAGCCTAAAAAACTTTGACTTCACTGATATTTTTGTATGCCCTGCTACTTTCAGTTTACATCTTTTATGATTAACATTACTCTCACTTGGGAAAATATTTTCCTGAATTATGTAAATCAGTACTATTCTAACCTCCCAACTGTAGTTGGAATTTCTAGATGGAAATTCTTTTTCTAAATTATCAACAAACCTTTCTCAGTTCTCACTTCCTCTCATATAGACAGCCAGACTCAGGACGCTGGGAATAATTTCAATGAAAATTAGCCTAAAGAAAAGATAAGGAATTTTAAAAAAAGATAAGGAAATAGTATTTATATTTTTTCCCAATTCATATCAAGGTCAATTTGATTTTGTTTGTTTAAAACTTCAATCCTTATAAATAAACCAAATGCATACACACTTCAGATAAAGTAAGTATTTTCAGTAAAATTATAATTCATGTAAAGAACTTTATCTGAGAATTTTTAAAGAGTGACTTACTCTATTAAGTATATAAAATATTTTGTCAAAAAGCCTTTTAGAATTTCAGCAATTTAAGTCCTACTTACACATGCTTTAAATATTCAGAATCTTCCATAATAAATATTGTTTTTTATTATACTTTGAATCACATTTTAAATTTAAGTTGTTTATCTGCCCTCATAAGCTACATACAYGCACAAACACACACACACACACACACATACACACACACACGTGTACACATACACACGATTTATATATTATATATAATATTTCACAATTTGGAATTATATTTTATATGAATTATATTTTATGTTTTTATTTAGAAATAAAGACTTGAAGGATTATGAAGCTTGGCTTGGAATTCATGATGTCCATGGAAGAGGAGATGAGAAACGGAAACAGGTTCTAAATGTTTCCCAGCTAGTATATGGACCTGAAGGATCAGATCTGGTTTTATTGAAGCTTGCTAGGTTAGTTCCTTTGGAAGATTCTGTATTTTTAACTGAGACTAGAATTGTTGAAACATTTTCCTCCAGCTGTGTGGCTGCACTTTCTCTCTTAAGCAGACATTTATTATTTCCTATATGCCATGTATCATATATATGTAGATACGTGTGTGTAAATATGTGTGACTACTTGCAGAATTTTCAAACATGAATCTACTACAATTTTTTTCTTTATAGATATTCTTCTTTTCTGTTTTTAAATAAACAGTATTTAATTCCCTAAGCCTCAGCCTAAATATTACATCATATGAACACTACATTTTAAATGCTAATGTGTTGAACCCAGTAGATAGTACTTACCATTATATTTTCTTTCTTTAGGCCTGCTGTCTTGGATAATTTTGTTAGTACAATTGATTTACCGAATTATGGATGCACGATTCCTGAAAAGACCACTTGCAGTGTTTATGGCTGGGGCTACACTGGATGTAAGCTACTTTTTAAAAGATGAGGCAATATCATATTTATTTTACATATAAAATTTTGTATTTACTTCTTCATTTCTCCTTTACCCTGTGCTCATTACCTGTATATTTTTGCACCATTCCAGTGATCAACTCTGATGGTCTGTTACGGGTAGCACATCTCTATATTATGGGAAATGAGAAATGCAGTCAGCATCACCAAGGGAAGGTAACTCTGAATGAGTCCGAAATATGTGCTGGGGCTGAAAAGATTGGATCAGGACCATGTGAGGTAAAATGAAAGTTCTTTAGTAGAGAATATATGGTTGATAGCATAGCTTCTCACAGGTTTTATGATTATTTACTTTTTGCAAAGCAAAATAATTATATACCAACCTGTTTCAGGAGTAGGAAAGTGCAAAAGATAACCATGTCTTATTTTTACACATTTCTGTTAATTAAACAGTAAGACAACCCATGCTTTATTCATAGCAAATTGATGACATTTGCCTCTCAAAATAAATGAATAGAGCCAGAAGTCTCAGGAAAAAACTGCAAAGTAATACTATCCAAATCTGTTTGATACGATGGCTTACATTTTTGTCATGTTTCTCAATTTAGCTGGTCCTCCCAAATTCTCCCTAAATGAACCCCATTAATATTAAGAAATACACTCCTGGTTTAAACTTTTAAATATGTTTTTGGGTAGACTGTGGTGTGTGTGTGTGTGTGTGTGTGTGTGTGTGTGTGTGTGTGTGTAAACAAATTCTTTAAAAAAAAAAAAAAAACCTAAAGGTCAAAGTTTGTGAGTTTAAGAGCTTGGACATTTTCATTTGTTAGGCAACTGTTCTTTTAACTTGGCAGGGTTCCTATCCCAGTTTTACATAGACAAGCTGTTAAACTGTTATTTTAGATGTATTTTGAATGTGAGATTCATGTTCTTCTACCTCAGAGCTGTAGCACTGTGGAATACTCTGTGTACTAGAGCACAGAATGAATTCAGTGGTAGTGAAATGCAGGTGGATATATTTTTAAAAAAATGTATAACTTTGGCATATAAACATGTATTGAAATTTATGTATTTTATGATTTCCTCTAAGATTTTTATTCCTAAAAAGAAATGTTTACTAAGTTAAAGAGATTTTTAGAACTGCTTTGAAGTGATATGGATAGAAACAGACTATGTGCTTATAAACAATTTCAAAGTTTGTATCTTTCCAGCAAATGAGTATTTTGCAATAACAAGGAAAAATTGTAAAAGGGAACATCTAGGAGGAAAAAAAATAAATACAGTTTTTTTAAAAAGCTTTAATAGTTCTATGAGCTCTAAAGTTTTCAACTAGATATAATTTTGGATACACCTAGAAAGGCATGTATTTTATCACAGCCTATTGCCATTTCCAACAATGACTTGACATCTGCTCTTCAGAGGTAGACTTAAATCTAATTTGTTATCGATACAGTCTTCATTTCCTTATTTTGACATTGAGCCTTTATTTCATATGTGCTATTTTTATCTTTATCCCTAAGACTTGATTTTAGTTTTAGTTTTTCCTTACTTCTTAAAACCAAATTTATCCTCCAGAATGTTGGTGTATGTATATATGCATATATATGAACAAATGAATATATTTATAATTGAAATTTAAAACAAGGTAATTTAACCACCAAAAGAACTTTGAACAAAGAATCTCTAAAATGTTGTATTATCAATAGCCTTGCATCAACAGTGTCTTCAAAGTGAATTGTTTTCAAGAGTTCATATTAGGATTCATAGGTGCATTTGTTTAAAAATCAGTTTTAATGTCTCAAAGACACAACTTATAGAAAGTCTATTAGAATAAGCCTTTTCTTTACTATTTGATGTTTTATTTCTCCAATTTTCTTCATCACAGAATACTGATCGCTCTCTTCTTTTAACCCTCATTACACAATTACATTTTGCATTGATTTAGTTTTATCTCACCATATCACATTTAAAATTAAGATAGTGCTGAACACTTTTTTCTATATAAGGATGCTCAGTCAATGCATTCTTGGGAGACTGCATGGTAAATGAAAAATGATGGAGCACAGTTGCAATGTATATATGTAAGAATATATGTAGCTATATAAACATAGATATACATATGACTGTGTATTGCATACCTATACATGAATATATCATATACCCATATCAATMTATCCTTCTATATTCATCTTTCATCTATCTCTAATGATGCACTAGTATTGCCATATAAGTGGAGGAATACTACTTGCCTAGAAAGGCAACTTCCAAAAAATAAATATCATTATTTCATCAACTTTGAGCTTTTTATTGAATTTGTTATGATTGTCTGGAGACAAGTTGAGAGAAGAAAAAAAATGATAGAAGTAAGAAAAATATCGATATAGTTTGAGCATTAAAATCACATGATTACAACAGGTTTCACTTGTGCTAGTATTTTTATACATTTTCCAAATTTTCTATGTTGAAAGATTTGATTTATCAGAAGATCAAAACAAATATAAAATTGATCTTATTAAATAAATGGGAATTTGATTTTTCGGCATTCAACAAAGGAAAAGAGAACTTTAAGGAATGAATGAATATTTTGGAAAAAAAAAGCAAATCAAGTCATTCATTTGTGTGTGTGTGTGTGTGTGTGTGTGTGTGTGTGTGTGTGTGTTGCTGTGCTGGGGATGGTACTCAGGACTTCACACATGCCAAGTAAACTCTCTGTCACTGAACTGTACCCAGCCTGAGCAATTCATGCTTATGTGATTACAGCATGTGACAGAATAATTGGAACTTTATACTTAATCAGTCTTACATGGTTAATTCAACAGAAAGACAATCAGTTATATAACAGACCAATTTTTATGTAATTCCATTCCAGTTTCAGTTATTTCCTTTTATGTGTGTATGCGGCCTAGAATTGCAAATGAGCAGAGGATTATATAAATGAATTATATATATTAATTTAATTTCTAAAATAATACTTTGCTGTTGTTACATGTCTTCTTTCTAGGGGGATTATGGTGGCCCACTTGTTTGTGAACAACACAAGATGAGAATGGTTCTTGGTGTCATTGTTCCTGGCCGTGGATGTGCCATCCCAAATCGTCCTGGTATATTTGTCCGAGTAGCATATTATGCAAAGTGGATACACAAAATAATTTTAACATATAAGGTAACACAGTCATAGCTGAAGTGTGTCTGAAGCGTCCATCAATATGTGATGATTTTACAAGAAGATTTCAGAGAACGTGGAATGAAAATGTTCCCTAAAATAATCCTAAAACAACTACTTGAGTGTCATGTTTGTTAAGATGCTCATTAATATATATGGGTATTTTCTGTTGTTCTGTTTGTCAGTGTTACTTTGTAAATGTTGAAATGAATTAAGGTACATGCAAGTGCAGTAACATATCTCCTGAAGATACTTGAATGGATTACAAGTGCAAAGGTTTAATTGCTGGATGATAAAGGATTTAATAGGAAAGATCAATTAATCTCTCTACGCTGCTTTCCAAGGTTAGTTTCTTAATGATAAATAAACCATAAGTTAAAAATTATCTTAACCTCATCCTAACAATTTATACCTTGTGTTGTTAAATTGTAACTTTATGTAAAATTATATTACCTTTCATATACCATATATCAGAGTTCATTCATTTCTCCTCACTGTGTATCCTACAATATTGGTAGGATAAAACATACTTTTATAAAAACACATACCCATTACACATGTTGGAGTAAACATGTGATATGCACTACAGTTTAAATAGTGGTGTATCTAGTATAATCCCTAAATATTTTGGAAGTATGTATCCATGATTTCTAATAATGCAGACATTTCTAAAGATCAGTAGACATTTTAAGGCAAGGTACAAGATAGAAGTGACTATCCTCTGTACATAATTTACAGATGACCTCTACTGACAGGCATTTAAAGTGAGATCAGGACCCACAGAGTTACAAAATTCTTAATCTAGATGTTTACATATATTTATTATCCTAGTAATTTCATGTAGTTTCTAACTCTTAAAGGAGAGAGAGTAATAGGTATATTTGTATATTTCTTTGCTCCAAATTTTGGTTCACTTATTTATGTAAGATATTTGTAGGCTTATTTTCCTAAAACATTTCCTAGTTTCTCAAGTTCATATCTAACTGAAGAAATTTAAAAGTGGTTTGGTCATTAAAATTGTATTTAAATAGGTTAATTCCAATAATTGCCACTGCCAACTGGATTCTAACTCACTCTCTTTAAATATTTAAAAATTATTTAAGAGAAAAACTTCCATATGTCTCCTAAGTTTTCTTTACAGCTCTTAATTAAATCATGCAATTAAGTGTATATTTGAGGAAAACAGAGAAATACTTTTCTCAACCTGGTAACTTTTTAGCCTACTAAATCTTTATTCAGGTAAGGGAAAACAAGATATAAAAAGAAAGGAAAGGAACTTGTTTTCTAAACTTTTATATTCAACAATATTTAACAATTAGAGTTGAATCTGCTGAATCAGATAATTTATCCAGAGATCTTCAATTTATCTTATTTCATTTTACATGGCCTTTTCCTAATGCCATGGGAAATACTTATTTAAATTTTTTATTCTGTATGATAAAAGCCAAATTATCATATTTAATATTCTATTTCCATGACTAGCTAGCAATCTTGAATTTGCTAAGAAATGGGATAACAATGCCATAGAATAGGCTCTGAATTTTTACAAAGTCTCCCTGTATTTAAACAAGAATAATAAAAATAATTATTTGAATGTTTGAATCCAGTATTCCCATTTCTCTAATTTGGTTCTCTTAAATCATTTTTATTAATGCAAAGGATTGAAACAATGCCCCAAAAGTTTTCGAGTTTATTCTTCAATCTGAAGGAAAATGGTTTTAAATTTACTGGAGAGCTTAGTCCACAGAATACAGGGCAGTAAATCAAAAATGCTTATAAAAATTGGAAAACTATATATATATATATATATATATATATATATATATATATATATTAAGGATATATAGAGAGGATAAGTGCTGATATTAAGAAACAGCAAAAGCAAAGAGAGATCCTACTAGATACCAGTCCACACTATCTTGAGTGTATTTTTCCATTATATAATATACCACTGTAATAAAGACACATAGAAATTTCAAGGCATATTGTCAAAATATTAAGTTACTTATTATAGTTTCTTCTTGCTGAACTGGCTAAATTATTGTCAAATATTAATCATACTGGTAAAACTTTAAAACAATTGCAATAACTTAAAATACTCACATTTTAAACTATTTTTTAAACGTCTTTCCTATAATTTTCCAGGGAAAGAGAGGTAGAAATTATCTAGATACAAGATGCAGCTAACATTTTTAGAGATTTTGTACTCAGTGTTTTCCACTTTATTAAAGGGTTAAAATAACATTAATGAGTCATTAAACATGGTATACAAAGCAATTTTCTCTTTGGAAGTTTCCTTTGGCTAGAAGGAAATGGATGGCATTGACAATGAAAATTAGGTGAATAAGATCTATGTTATTTTAGGTGGTAGAACAGGGGATAACCATGTCATTATTCTCTGGTGAAAGATACTATTTACTGTGTGTTTTTCCTCTGAATGAATACAAAAGAGAATGATAAAATTCAGCTTATCCAGAAATCCATTTTATTTTGTGTCATGGACAAAAGGGCCTTTTAAATTAAAAGTTTTCAATGCTATTTTTGTTTTGGCTGTTTGAGTAATGGTTATATGCTGTTATATTTGTAGACATTTTCTTATGTCTACCAGGAATAGAAATGTAAAATTAAAATATTTGTCATAATGCCTCTGCCGTGCAGAAGGGATGATAAGCCTTTTGTATACTTCTTTAATTTTATTGTAAAATATGTAATGACTTTTACCTCTTTGCTGTAGGCAGGTCCTCAGTAAAATGGTTTATATTGAGTCAATCTGTAGTATTAACAGGCTCTTGCTTGCCATCTTAGTGTCTCAAACTATGGGGATGGTGAGACACTGGAAGGCAAGAAAAACAACAATAATGGCATGTGATAGCAAAATTGTATTTCACTTATTCCTGTGAATATATCTTGTTGGTACCAATGGTACTGTACAAAGTGAATGTTATAGCCACGGCATTCTCTTGAAAAGAACACTGTCAAGAAGTAGGAAATTGCTGTCAGGCATTTTCTTCTTTCCAAATATTTTTCTTTAGAAAGAAATATTAGCTTTTGCAACATAGAGATTATCAGGTAAAGAGTTTTAATAAGATCTCATAATAAAAAACAGATTGATTTACAAAGGTTCAAAAACGACTGCATTTAATTATTGGGTCTCATAGAAAAACAAAWTTGAAAAATAAAATTTATTTGTATCAACAGACATATTTATCTTTGTAAAATAAATTTTGAATAGAAACTTTTCATGACTAAGTCCAAAAATTTATCTTCAATATTCAACTGAGTTTAGAATCAAGAATTTACTAATTAAAAAAAAAGTTACAATTTTTTGGACCCTGTAACTCTTGACATTGTAACTTTTAAGTAGGTTCATTTCCATTTGCACAGAAAGTTTCTATCTTTAGGAAACTGAAAATGGAATACTGTGGATATTATGATTGTCTTGTGTGTAAATAGGAAACTGATAAGCTGCCTATTGAGTGGTATAGCTGGATGCTTACCCAAAAAAGGGAACACTGTGGTTATGACTTGTATTATAAAGTTTCTGTAGTTAATAAAGTCGTTATTTTTATAACCATGATTATATTATTATTCTTAATAATAATAAAATATTTTATCAAAATGCTTCCCTTCTCTTTCATAATTATATGCATATATATATATATATATATATATATATATTTGTGTCTGTCCTAAAACTTTAATGCAGAAAACAGCAATAACATTTATTTGACAATAATTACATATACTTTGTTGGAAGAAATGTATAACTTGTTTATAGAACTAATACAAGAGATCTATTTTATTCCAACTCTATCCATAGTGATATCAATAGTCTTCAGTAAACAGTCTTGGTGCATTTTTGTTTCTCCAATTGTAAAATATAATTCTTTATATTTTATATTTGCTAGAATGATGCTTTGGTACTATATACAAAATATTATAATGAATGATTACTTAATTTCATTCCCAATATAACTCAATATTACAAAAGTGATTTAAAATTATTTAGTTAATCATTTGAGGATATCTTTCAAAATGCTTATTAAATTTAGAATAAATATGAATCAAATAGATTCATTCAATACAAACTGGATTGACTAATCATCAATGATCTAACCAACCAGAGCTCTATAACTGATTATTCCAAATTATATTTTCTCTCCACCAAAATGGTAGCTCTACTAATTATTCTGGCATAGATCCTGATCTCAAGTGATGATTAATATATCTAATTCTATAGCCCATAGTAAATATCTGACCGTATAAATGATTGTAACTAAAGCAGAAGATACTTACTTGTTTGTGATATCAGTAAGAATATTTAAAATATATATCTGTTGATTTTGCTAAATTTGTATTTTATTCTTTTATAGAAGAATTTCATCACATTCTAAACACATATTCTGCTCTTTTAAGTAGAATAGTCAGGCCAGGTGTGATGGTGGCACACCTGTAATCCCAGCACCTCAAGAGGCTGAGGCAGGAGGATCCCAAGTTCAAAGCCAGCCTCAGCAACTTAAGGAGGCCCTAAGCAGCTTTAAGGAAAATAGAAAAAAGGATGTCAGGGGTGTGGGTCAATGTTAAGTGCCCCTGAGTTCAATCTCTGTTACTCCTACACCCTCAAAAAAATAATAGAACAGTCAGGAAAACCTCTTTAAGACTGACATTTGGACACTTATTAATGAAGTGTGACAGCAAGTTTTGTAAATATATGGGGTCAGATTAAAAATACTTGGAAAATATTGCTATTAGTTTTCTAATACAGTTCATTTATTTATTGTTTTAGATTATGATGTTCTAATTAGTCACTTTTTGTGACTGTCCTGAGTCACCTTGGTGTGCATTCCTTGGTCTGCATTCCCTTTGTGTTTGAGTCTAGGAGTTGTATTCCTATGCTATTTATCAGTCTCCTATGTAGGAACCATTCTTGATTGGCACAATTCTTCAGGACATTGTTGCATCCCTTTTACCAAGTTACCAGCCTGTCATCTAAAAGAAACATTAGAAGTTTTCCT